TTTGCAGGCTTCCTATTCCAATTGGCCCATGCCCATGCCTATGCCCATGCCAAATGCTGGGCCGCAATGCACTCGACGACGAAGCCTCATAAATACCGAATTAGTTGGTAATTCTATAAGCAACACGCGCCCATTGATGGATTGGCTGGCCAGCCAGGGCCGCTTGCTTGAGTCGTGGGCGCGTGCTAGATAGATAATATGGCAAGGCACGAGCGGCACGAGCGGCAAATTGTATCTGCGAGATACACGCAAGTCGATGCGCATCCAGCGGCAGCGATTGCGGCCGTCGATTTGTGGCACGTGCCGCAAGCTGCGCATGCGACAATTAGCCGCAAATGGCAAATGAATTTTCATATTTAATTATCATAATGAATAGAGGAAGATGAAAAGCTGAGATGGAATTCTTACATCTATCGAGACAATTTGAGAGTCACTACCAAGGATTAAGCACACACACACACACACACGCACACATTATATATATAAAAATATTGCAAGCAAAGCTGAGCTTCATTAAAAGAAAGGCGTGGCAACTGCGCGCCAGTTTATGATCTGAATTAATGGTTTATGATGATGATGGCCGCCGGATTCGCTGACGTTGCGAAAACTGGACAAAAAGGAAATAAAAGCAAAGGCGGCTCGCCCTGTTGACCAGTTGCTGATCCGAGCAGTCGGCGATCGCGTCGCCTGATCGCAGCAGCGGACTCAATCGAATTCCAGGCCAAGGGTCGCGTGCCCGTTAAATGCTGTTTCCCTTTTCTTCTTCTATATACTCTAACTTTGATTAGGTATAGCTGCAGATCAGCTAGATAGAGCCAAAGGCAAAGGATAGATAGATAGATATAGATATATATAGATAGATATAAGATATACGTGTGCTGATTATATGTATATATATATCTTTTGGTATTTATGATTTATATGAATACTACGTCTTAGTAGTTATTTTATGTATATATATATGTATATATTTCGCTCAAATCTAATCATATTTTTGGTTGAGACTCGCGCAAGTGCTCGAAATTGATTTTTTATAGGTTGTTTTCTTCAAAGTTACGCAGGCTTAAATCATATTAAAGTAAACAAATAAGTTTGCAACATAACAAATATGAGCTCAATTAGATAGAAAATATTATGACATTAATGTTTTAGTATGACTTCAGTTATTTGCTTATAAAGGCGTACTTTGAAACATTAATTTTAACAATCATCACAGTCATGACCTTCACGATTGACTCCGCCAGTCGCTAAGGCGCACCAAAAAGCTTCTGGATGAACCCTACTCCAGGTGCGGTAAACCTGCCTATTTCTGGGCTTCATCATTATTTACGTCATGAAATGGATCAAGCGATAGGTTTGACGAACAGAAGCATATCTATAAGGCTTTTAAGACTTAGCGCGATCTCTAGTCTTCTAACTTAGTTTTGTGTATCTATAAAACTAATGAGACTTCAGTTGAAATTTGATATCTAAATTCTCTTAGTTTATATATCACAATTTCTAATTAGTTTTTCAACTTTTTCAGCTCAAAGAATTTTGATATGAAAATGCAGTGTTGAGTCTCAAGTATTTCCAAGCCAAATTAATGAAAAACGTTCTTAAATAAAATTTATATATGCTTATATATATGAGGAGTAGGAAATATAAGTAAATTGTGGGTGGCTTCAATTCCTAGAGGCGTCCTTTGGAGGCGTCAATCAATGCATTGGAAAGTTAATGAGAACTTCTAAGAAAAATGGCAACAAAATCGAGTTCCTATATTCATTTTGTTTACCATTTGGATGCTTGTGGGGCTTCTGTATATTGATTGAACTTTTTCTCAAAAGATTTTCAGAAATTGAAGGCTGATAGCGCTTTGAAGTGGAGCTGCAAGAGCTATTGGGAAGCCTATTTAAGCCGATCTTCAGATTTTGTGCAACCATTTTGAGGGAGCGAAAGACTCGTAGCATTGCTGCTATTGATTTTCACAATTTTCCATGGAATCATTTAACTTTGAAATTGTCAGTTAAGTCTAAGCAAACACCTTACCCAACAGCCCATCTAATGTCCTTCTGCTCTCTGGTAATAACAAATTGTTTACCTTGAGTCATCTAATATAACCAAATATAATATAATGAAAATAGAATTTTATTTGAATCAAAAATGAGTAATCTATCATAATACTTGGATAAAGTCAAATGCTTTTGCCAAAACAACTTGATTTGAAAAGAATCTCTTTCTCTTCCTTTCAACCTCTTTCTCTATCTCTCTCTCCTCTCCCCCTATCGTATCTCCCTCTCTCTCTCTTATAAACTCCCATTCTCTCTTTACCTTTCGCTCTGATCTTAAGCGTACACATCCTCTGTTTGAGCCTTAATTCGGTCCCAGCTTCACCTGAAATTTGAACCCCGCTATAAAAAAAAAAAAGAATTGCATTTTGTTTTTTTTTTTTATATATATTATTCATCTGATCATAGTTTTGTGAACTTTTTACAATTATTTTAGTTAATAATTAAAAAAAAAGAATTAACCAGTTTACTTAAATGTTAGCATATATATATATATATATATATCGTATATATATGTATACACACATATATATATTTGCTCAATATATATTTATATATATATATGTGAGTGTGTCTATACACACGCACACATATATATATACATATAGATATATATATGTATAGTTATATATATAATTATATTCACTTAAATATTATCAACTAATTTTTTATGATCTTCAATTTGTTTTTTGTTTTTATCGACTTTGCTTAAAATTTATTTGCAAAAAAAAATTCACTTATATTTAATTAGTTTCTAGATGTTTTTGTTGTTTCTATTTATAGCGTAATATTGTTTAAGTGTGTGTGTGTGGGTATGTATGCATGTGTGTGTATGTGTGTGTTTTTCAAACAAAATGGATACGCTTAAATTTACAATTAAATTGAACTTAAAACTAAACAAAAAATTAAATTAATAATAAAAAAAAAATATATCTCATCTTCAAGCACATTGAACTAAATATGTATTATATGTGAGTATATATATATGTATATATATATATATACATGTATGTATATAAATGTATATTTATATATATATATATATATATATATGTGTGTGTGTCCTGAAAAATGTTATTCATTTATATATATATATAAATATATTATTTTATAATTTTATAAACGATATTTTTTTTGTTTTTTAGCATATTGTATTATGAACATGTACACACATACATACATACATATATATATATATATATATATATATATATATATATATATATATATATATATATATATATATACATAAATACGTATATATATATATATATATATATATATATATATATTAATATATATACATATATAGCTTTATATATATAAATACTTAAACGTCTTATACTATATATGTACATATATATATATTTCTTTATATATATATATACATATATATATATTCTTCTTCGTTTTTTTTTAGTTTTTTTTTTCAAAAGATTTTTTGACTTTAAGTTGTATATTTTTAAATTTATTTCTTTATAGTTTTGTACATTTTTAAAATTATATTTTATTATAAATATTTTTGCTTGCTTCATTTTGGATTGTGGCATGTTTTCTTCTTTCTTTCTTAAATATACATATATATATGTATATATATATATATATATGTATATATGTATTTGCAATAAAATTCACTATATATATATATGTATATACATATATAGCAACATTATGGAGTCATTGTTATTCCGATTTGGTGGCTTAAGTTCTAATACTTTTTTGCTTTGCTTTGAAAGTCTGAAATGTGAATTCGTTTTGAAGGTGTTTTTCGATTTAAGTTTTCGCTTTTGTTTACATTAATATCCACTATTTATATATATATGCGTGTATATATAAATATGCGTTATATAAAGACGACAAAATGATGCTTTGAACTTTTTAACTTGATGTCACAATGAAATGCATTCGCAATATATTTACATATAATTTTCATTTTATATATATATATATATATATCTATATATATATATTTTGCAAATTTGTTTTGTTTTTCTGTGTTAGCTATGAAATATGATGTTTTATATTTTTTTAAAGAACTGTTTATTATGTATATATATATATTAAAACTTCTATTTATGATATGAGAAGCTGGCCAAGCGGGGCGCTGCGCGACTTTTTGCTAGACAAACAACAGAACTAAAAACGATTTTGTTAAATTTTGTTAAATTTTGTACAAATCGAAGGGAAATTCAAATCGAATCGACACTGATTTGGGCTGAGCTCGCCCCGCCCGTTGAGCCAGCAAAATATTTCAAGAGTCCCTCCACGCACCTCCATGGATATTGCATCCTATATCGCGACTTCGATTTTCCTTTTAGTTGAAAATTAGTTTTCAATTTTCATTTTTCTCGCTTAAAAATTAACGCGAGTTTCAACAAATCTTTTCGGGTGTTCGTTAAGTTTTTAAATGTTTTTTTTTTTTTAATTTTTTAGTTTTTTTTTCTTAGTTTATCACTCATTTACTTCGTTGATCCTGGCGGCTTAAGCTATTATCTATATGTACACATATATATATATATGTATTCCTATATATATGTATATAGATCATACATATATGTATTGCGTGCGCTAATTGTAATACACACACAGAGCAATATTTAAGTGTTAAAAAAAATATATTAACTAGCAAAAAAAAAAAAGAAAAAAATATTTATATATAAATTTTGTTAAATTTTTGCCCCGCACAAGCGTCAGAGAATGCAGCGAGCGCTTGGGGGACAGGTGTCAGTGGTAGAGATATGTATGTGAGGAGTCAACTAGCCATAGCCGGCATGCTCTTGTCCATGCTCCTGTGCCATATCCTGGTGTTGATCCTGCTGCTGCTGCTGCTGCTGCTGCTGTTGCTGCTGCTGCTGCTGCTGTTGTTGCTGCTGTTGCTGTTGCTGTTGCTGGTAGGTCTGCAGCTGCAACTGTGACTGTGGCTGTGGCTGAGGCGAGCGTCCGCTGCTGGCGCTGCTCCCGCCGCTGCCGCCGGAGCTGCTGCAGTACTGGAACAGCAGATTCTACACCATGTTCGCATACTTATCCTGCGGCGACATGTAGTCGAGGCTGTTCTGTGAGAAGGCCTGCGCCGAGACGGTGCCGGTGAACGACGGCGACGGCGACAGGCCAAAGTTCGAGGCGGTGTAGCCCGAGTGGCCCATGTTGTAGTTGACCTGGTTCTGATTGCTGAAGTACTCCATCTGCGAGTAGTAGCTGGGCGCTTGGGCATAGTTGTTCGGATATTGCTGGTACTGGTTGTGCCAGAAGTTGTACGAGTCGTGGTTCGACATGTACGCCGAGTGGGCCGAGTGGTGGGCCGATGCCGACTGCGCGGACTGGGCCGCGTGCGCTGCCGCCGCCGCCGACTGTGGCGACATGGGCGTTATGGGCGGAGAGGGCGTTGTGATGCTGCTGCTGCTGTCCATCGGCGTGATGTTGCCGCCCGGCTGCAGCAGCCGCGGATTGCTGGCCGCCGCCGTGCCATAGATGCTATGATGATGGTGGGCACCCGCGCCGATATCGCCGCCCGCATCCTTCAGCGTGTCGTACGGCGAGCGCAGCGCGTCCCCTGACACGCCGACGCCCACGCCCACGCCCACACCGACGCCGCCGACACCGACGCCGGAGCCATTGCCGCCGACGCCGCCGCTGCCATAGCCGCCGCCCAGATGCTCCTTCTTGCACACAATGCTCACCGGGCTGACCGACGTGGCCGGCGTGGGCAGCAGCGGCGAGGAGTTCTGATGCGCTGCGGTCACATTGAGTGCCGCTGCCGCGGCCGCTGCTGAGAGGTGCACATGCGAGTTGCTTGCACCGCCGCCACCGCCGCCGCCGCCGCCGTGGCTGCCGCTGCTGCTGCTGGGCGTTGAGCCGCCGCCGTTGTTGTTGTTGTTATTGTTGTTGTTGTTGGCACCGCCGGCGCCCGCATTGAGGAAGGAACTGTGATGTGACTTGATGGACTGCGCCGCCGCAACAGCCGCAGCGCTGACAGCGGCCGCCGCCGAGCTGCTCGCATTGCCGCTGGCATTGCTCGAGCTGCTCTGGCCCGATCCGCTCTGTTTCTGGTTCGATTTGTTGCCGCTGTTGTTGCTGTTGTTGTTGTTGTTGCTGCTGGAGCTGTTGTTGTTGCTGCTGCTGTTGTTATTGTTGTTGTTGCGGCCACCATTGCCCGAGCTGCTGCAGCTGCCACTGCCGCTGCCATTCTTGGAGCTGCTCAAACTGTTTGACTGCTGCTGCTGCTGCAGCTGCTGGCGACACTTGGCCCGTCGATTCTTGAACCACACCTGCAATGCATCAAGGAACAAAACGTTAGCAAACCCCAAGCAATTGATCGGCTATACATAAAAGCTAACAAACATGGCCTCAACATGCTTTCCACGAGCTGACCTTCAGCTCTGAGCCCTTGGCTGCTGGAGCTCTCAGCTCGATTTTATAATTTATTTACGATATGCGATAATTTTAATAGAATTTTTATAGATTGGCCATTAGGCTGGAGGCATCAAGGCATTACAAATCGATAGCTCAAGTATCGGAGTGTCACGTGCTGGACGGCAAGTGTTTGCTTAGTCAAGTGTGGGCGGGTGGGCGGTGGGGCGTGCTGGGTGCTGTGTGCTTGCCAGCGGCTGCAATTTTCCCACATCAATTAGTTTGCCGTGCTGACAATGAATAAATTATGCGAGCTGTGAGCTAGGCGGGTCGGGGCGTGGCAGCCGTCGCCCACAACTCAAAACAACAAGTGCAAAAAGTCACGCGCTGCGCCGTCGCCGCCGGCCCAAAAAGCGTACAAAAAATAAAATAGAAAGAAGTTACATCAACAGCCGACGGCGACGAGCTGGAGAGTCCGAAAATTGACTCGATTAAGTTTGTGTGTCGCCCCCTTTTTGCCCATTGGCAGCGCGACCACATGCCACATGCCACATGCCGCAGCCCGAAGACAACAATAAACAGCCCATAAAGCGGCACAGTCGAGCGCAAGGAATTCACTTAGCCTTGTTTGTTATGCTTAAGGGGCTGCAAACAATCCGCTAAGTGCAGGCGGCAGGCACAGCCGGAGTACCCGGAACCTCAGTCAGCCAACCCCAACATCAGTTCGAGCCCAAGCCGACCGCCCGACCGCCCAACCGGGCGGGCGAGCCAAAATGTTGTTTCAGTGATTTGTTATTTGGGGTTGGTGTTGCTTGCTAATGGCTTGTGCTTTGGTAAACAGCAGAATTTATTACCGTGCCGACATAACCAGCCCACCTCCTCGCAGCAGCCAGCCCCTCCCCCAGCCCCCTTTGCGACGCAGTGCTAGAGCGCTTGATGGCATATTTCCCAAAGTTAACACTTGCCACGCGGCGGCTGTGGCCACTCGAGCGTTTCATTGCAGTCCTAACGCAACGTGGCAGGGGCGCCCTTGCTTCGGCTTCAGTCGCCGCTCAATGTGGGTGGGTGGGCGTGGGCTGAGCTACGCACTTGACGAAAAAAGAGCATTAAACAAGGCGTATCAAATTTCATTATTTGTCAGCACCACACAGGACGTCGCCACCCCAGCCCTCCCCCGCCCCCTCTCTCCAGCCCACTCGCCGCTTCAAATTCAATTTCAATTTCCAATTCAATTTTGCATTTTGGAAAATCTACTTTGTGATTTGACTTTGACGTGCATGCGATTTTTCAGTTGCCTTTTATTTATGTTTTCTCTTTTGAAATCGTTTAATGAGCTGCACAAATTTCGTAATATGTTTTTGGGGCCTGGGAATTTTTGCTAGTTTTAGCATAAAATTTTGCTGAACGACGAGTAAAATGTGAAAAATCACATCAATACGAAACTCGACAAAAAAATCTTTAAACGCAAAAAATTTGATTGTGTCCCTAATGAACTTTGGCCAACATCAAAGCGATTCTCTCTCTCACTCTCTCTCTCTTTCTCTCTCTCTCTCTCTCTTTTTCTTTTCTGCAGCTCAGTCTATAATTATAATGTTAATGAAGTTGATTTTAATAGCTTGATTTTCATTGATGTCAAACTCAACGAATCTCATGACAAACGACTGCCCCCTGAATAGCACCAATTGAGACTTGTTCGAGTGGATAATGCGACAGTTGATATACCAAAGATTTCATTCGAATAGCGGAGAAAGCACAGCTAACATCTCAGAACTACGAAAGAGACATAGACACGTGCATGGATGTGGATATGGATATATGGATACATTGAGAGATGTGGATAGGGATAATGATATAGGAATAAATAAAAATATATAAGTAAATATATGGATACGGATACGGATATGAATATGGATAAGGATATTGATATGGATATGGTTATGGATACATATAATTATATATTTATATATATATATATACAGCTTTATCTACACATATTAATAAATGGATATGGATATGGATAAGGATATAGAAAAGGATATTGGTGTGGATATGGATAAGAATATATATAAATATATGTATATACAGTATAACAGGTATATCTATACATATTGAGAAATGGATATGGATAAGGATATTGATATAGGTATGGATAACGATATGGATATGGATATGAGTATTAATATAGATATGGATATGGATATGGATATGGATATGGATATGGATATGGATATGGATATAGATATGGATATGTATATGGATATAGATATGGATATGGATATGAATATGAATAATGATAAAGATATGAATATATATATTGATATGGATAAGGATATGGATATAGTTATATATATATATATATATTTATATCTATACATATGGATATCGATTTAAATATGAATATGAACATGGATAAGGATATGGATAGAGATATGGATATATACATATGCGTATATATATATTATCTACACATATCCAGATATTCTATAGCATATATCTTATAGTCCTATAGATGATTCCATTTCCGCGCGTTCCATAATGCGACTTGAAATTGGCAAAGTGAAGCACTTTTTGTTGTTGGCATTAATCAATGCGAAATTATGCGCGACTTTGCATAATAAACAAATCAATGCGCATTCGTTAAATTCAATTCAGTTGAGTTTTTTATTTAAAAATGTTTTTTTTTCTGTCCTTTAGATGGGAATCTAAAAAGGAATTCGAGTGTGTATTATGTGGCACTGGGAGCATTGAAAAGCGACTGGAAATGTTAATCCGCAATGGGAAAATTAATTTTATAAAACAGCTGTGTGTTACACACACACACACACATACACACACATAGACACATTGGAGTGAAACTTTTCAGTCGTCCTGTGCCACATCCTGGGCCCGTTGCATTGCGCTATCATGCGGCAGCGGCAGTGACAACGAGACAAATCCTTTTATAACAGCGGCAGCATGAAAATTTGAGAGGGGGAAATGGGAAAATGCCAAGCAAAGCAAAGCAAAGCAAAGAGTTGCGAGTTACGAGCTACGAGTTATGCTTGGGATCGGCCACAATTTTGACTATTGGTGCTGCGTAATCCCTCTCATGCCCTCCCTTTCACTCTCGCTGGCTGTCTCGCCTAGGTGCCTGGATCAACTAAAATGGCTGCCTTTGTTGCTGTTGCTGTTGCTGTTGCTGTTGCTGTTGCTGCTGTTGCCGACGAGCAACCGCGAAACTTGGTCGGCTGCTGCTTCAACCCCCGACGGATAAAAATCGAACAGCTGAATCGGAGGTGACAATGGCTTGGCCAGTCCACAGGGTTGGAGGGAGAGGCAGAGCCAGAGGAGGGTGGGGGCAGGCAAGCTCCTGCCTGTGATTTATGACTGCGATGGCAGCCCTCATGCCCGCTGCCGGCGTCCCCCTGCGCCAGGCAGCGCGGCGAATGAAAACATTAGGGCGTAAATGTTTGCTCTGTTCTGGTGCAGATAAGCTGCGTAAAATTATTACGTTATTTGTATTGGTTGCAATCAGCAGCCGCCCACCTCCCCAACCCCTAGGCGGACGCACACTCAGGCACGCCACCCTCCGACCAGCCCTACTGTGCGCTGCCATAAAGATGCCTATCATTCAATTAATATTTGCCCGGGCAAGCGGCGCAGTCGTTAATTTTTGCCATTTGTGAAAAATGATTATTTATGTGCGACGCCCCGACGTGGGCCGCTTCTGGTTGCGCCTGCGATGCCACCGACTGTGGTAGGTGGAGCCATGTGGGGCATTGCCAAGCCGCAGCCAACTAGTTTTGTAGCCGCCGCCACCGCCGCCGCCGCCGCGCCCAGCTTGCTAATTGAGTTGCTTGGCTTCCTTTCGGCTGCCAGGCCAGACAGTCAGACAGTTGCATGCAACACTCGATTTTCATGTGGCTGCCGCTGGCGTCGCACTGTTCGCTGTTCGCTGTTAGCTGTTCGCTGTTCGTTGCTGCTTTTTTCTCTCTTGTTTTTGGTGGCTTTTACGGCTTTTCTAGCTGCCGCTGTAATTCAATATGCGCCACGTTTGTAGGTGTTGCCTCAGCACACACACGGCCACTTGCCACAGTGGTACAAAACCTGATGGCAACTGAAATGCCAGGAAAGTTTCGCCTCTAACTAGATTTTGCTTCTAACATAGCTTATATAGTAAGCATATATCGCTCATGGTTCCCTGATTTGAGGTGGGAGACATCGGAGGTGCACAAATATTAGTGCAACACACTTCAAGCAGCAAGCGCAGCACAGTGCATGCCTCAATCTAGATGTGCCACTGACAACAGTAACAGGATGACTTACAAAGCGAATTGCAAGTGGGAAAAGAAGACGAAAAACACGAATGGAAAATTGTCAATGCACTTTTCCAATGCCGCCCACTCGCCCCCCTCCCCCAGGCGACGTTCGGCGTGTGCATTTCAAAAATCAATTGTGTATGAAACGTAACGGGAACCGTTGGCATGGAATGTGTAAAATCAAATGGAATATCCATTCCATTTGGCCAGTCCTGCTAGGGTCCTGCCTGGGCCGTGTTACGTGTCGTTTTTCACTTGCCGCCGGCCACTGCAGGGGCTTCGCCATGGGCCAACGACCGGGCCAGAGCTGAGCGGCAGGCAGTCAATGTACCTTCCCGGTCACGTCCTGCCGTTGCAGGCCAAAAACCCAACTCTGCAACAACTGCAAACAAATCAATGAACATGTCAACAGAGCGAACGATACATGCGGCTGTGTTTACTCTGGGCATTAGGTGACAATTCTATGCCAAATGATCCTCAATCAAATGCCAAAATGCTGAGATCGGCGAATGCGTGTCGATTTTGGCCATTTGGCAGTTGGGCCGACGGCGCTAGCAGCATGTTTGCTTAGGCCGCAGTCGGCTGTCAACACAGGCAGCGAGGCACCTAAGCAAACAGGCCAGGATCTTGGCGCAAATTGAGTTGTTGCTGCGAATGAGGCAAAAAAAATTAGCGCAAATTATGCGCTGCTAATGCGCAAAGTAAACTCAAATAAAGCAGCGCAGTCTCCTGTGTCCTGTGTCCTGTGTCCCATGTCCCGTGTACCGTCTACCGTCTCTCGTGTAATGTGTCCTCTGTTTGGGCAACCCTCCGAATGATGCGCAGCAAATGCCTTGTGCAAATATAAAAAAGTCGACACTCGTCGTTCATCTTTCCGCCTCTTTTTTCGGGCACATTTGACATTAAAAATATGCCCTGTCTCTAGTCTCTAACTCCCTCTCCCACGCTCTCTCTCTCTCTCTCTCTTCTCGCTCTCTCTCTCTAACTCGCTCACATTTCAAGTCTCTATTTGCATAGCGATTTTCCTTAGGAAAATCTATGCATTTGCAACGCACACGCGCTCCCATATGTCATACCAGTTATACACCAACACACACCAACACCAACACACACACACACACACATGCCAAATGGGGCAATCTGTTGGCTGTTTGTAATTTGTTTGTTTTATGGATTTAGCAACTTTGATTTTCGAGGGCGTCTTTCGACTCGACATATGCTTAATTAAACAATTGCCACTGAGTCTACGCAGTGCAAACACGACTTAAACCAGATAAATACACACGCACGCACACACACACACACACACACACACATGCAGTGCCAAGGGAGCTTCGACTTGCTCACGCACGTTTCAAGGCGTTGAGCCACACAGAATCAAAGTCAATTCCAACTGGCAGCGTCTCATCAAAGAATTGACTTGTTTTTATTTGTAATGCAGCCTTAACTTAAGTTGAAGCTCAAAGAGTTTAGAGTTCAGATAACAGTTCAAAGCTAATGCTGCGATATTTCCATTTGACTTTCAGGCAGATCTCAAGTCTTTAAAGACTTTACAGAGCTTGCTTATGGATCATATATATCATATATATGCCACATATGTTATCATATATATATATTATACATGCCATACATGAGTCTTTGAAGAGTCTGCAGACGAGTCTACACAGTCTACTTATAGATCGTAATGGCATATATTCATACAATTCGTGCATTATATAAAAAAATTTGCTAAAATTCAATTCAATGCAAATGAAATAGGGAATTTAACTGTGACTGCTATGGAATAAAACACTTATCTTTTGATCTAGGGAAACTCAAGTTTCAAGTTACTAAAAAGCTTAAAACTGTTTGACTTTAAGAGTAGACAAAAAGGCAGCTGAAGGCCAAGGCAAGAGAGCAAAGCTTAGTTTCAGCGATTTCAAATCATAGATATATATATCTATGTATATAAAACATTTGCTAGAATGCAAATATTTATATATATATATATAAAATATATGTAAAGAGCTGTCTGACTTGTGCTATTCCTCTTCCAGCTTAGGCTAAAATAAGCAATACAATGCCTCGAGCTTAGCTCGAACTCAACTGACTTCAAGTGACTTAAAGCTATATATTTCGTGTATGCATCCATCTCGTGGCAGTGACTGGGGCTTACCTGTACTCTGGATTCGGGCAAATTGATCTTGAGCGCAACCTCCTCGCGCATGAATATATCCGGGTAGCGTGTCTTGCCGAAGAGCGCCTCCAAAACGTCGAGCTGGGCCCGTGTGAATGTTGTTCGCTCGCGACGCTGTTTTCTCGTGTTGACGCCTGCAAAATGTTGTTTATGGCAAGAAGAAGAGAGACGAGAAAAAAAAAAAAAAAACAAATTAAATTAGCTACCAGTTTGGCCAGCCAGCAAATGCCTAATCAAATGTGCTGAAAGCTGCTTTTTGGGGTGGAGTTTGCCGCTGGAGCTTGGCTCTGGCACATTGCGCATACGCCGCGTGGGCCAGCTTTAATTAACGCATACACACGCAAGATGCCTTTCCCAGTATTTTTCGCCCATTTTTATTTTCTCTCGTTTCGTGTGTTTTTTTTTGTTTCGTTGCAAACCGTTATTCCTAGCAACCCCCGTCGAAATGCCACCCCTAAAAAGCATTTTGTGCTCTGAACCAACCCCGCGCAGCAGCGTCCAAAACTTCTTTTGTGTGTGTGTGTGTGTGTGTATATAATGTATTTATACATATGTAGTGCGTATATAAAGGCATGTGTGTGTCTGTGTGTGTGTGCTAAGCCGCGGCATTGTTTGTTTTTGCCGGGGCAGCCGTTGTCAGTGCGTGTCTGCTGCTGGCTCTGCCTTTGTCCCTGCCTCTGCCTCTGCCTTCACCTCTGCTGCCACTGCTGCTGCTGCTGTTGTCCCAAATATTCATCGTGAGCACCCCTTTTCGAATGCGTACCCCAACCCTCCTGGCAGCACCCTGATCGCGCGCGCTCTCGCTCAGCTACTCTATGCCCATCTCTGTTTGGCTCTATCAAAAATTAATGAGTTAGTCATTTTGGTCATGAATTTTTAAATTGAATAAAAAACTTGGACTCAGCTCAGCTCAGTTGGCTCGCGCGTTGCCTTTGCAGCTGCCGCTTGGCGTTGTTGCCTTTGCTTCTTCTACTTTATTTTTTATTTTGGTTGCTTTCAAAATGGTCGCCAGAGCAGTTGTTGTTGTTGTTGCCTTAAAGCAAAATTAATTGCAATTTGTAGTTTGCCTTTTGCGTGGCACTCGGCAACAGCGCACAACGCGCTTTATTTTTTATTTATTTATTTAAAATATATTTTTATTTATTTTCGCATTGCCCCAAGCCTTGGTGGCCGGCACTGGCATAAGACCTGTTTAATTAACTGCACCTACGTATATTTTTAATGCTTTTTCCCCTCGATTTTTGTCACTTTTTCATAGCTCTGAATGGCACTTATCACGAATATCTCGAGTAATTAGGCTGCCATTATTTGTTCAATTGCATTTTTAATTAACTTTTTAGCTTGGCAGCTAATTTGTTTACTTTGCTTTCGAGCTGCTCTTTTTCGAGCTGAGTTCCGGCTTGCCTAGACCTCCATATATATATATATATATATATATATATATATAGAATAAGATATATGGAATAAAATATTCATATTTCGATTGCTGTTTTCCCAGCGAGCTTCAACTGAGTTATGCAAACTCCTCAATTATATAGATAATTATCGCACTTCAGACGATCCATTCTGGACTTATATAACCTGACAATATCTGCAATCGACAGATTCTGCTATAACTGGGCTCCGAAATCGAAATTGATTACGTGCGATTGTTCGACTTATTATGTATTGCTGCTCTGTATATGTTTTCTTCTGTTTTCTTCTGGTTTCTCTTCTCTTTGGCGTTTGCTTTTCGTTTTCTTTTTCTTATTTTTTTTATTTATTTTGGCATTTTGTAGCATTTTTGTCAGTTTTTTGTCATTTGCAGCGTCACCGAAACGAGACAAATAACTGGAACCTGACAAAAAGCTCAACTCATGCGTTCCCCAGAGCTGCGACGGCCACTTTGGCTTCAGCTCATTATTCATTTTGACAATTCAACTGATAATGATGCAATCGCTGCGAAACGGCATTGAAAAGCATTTTGTGCGACATCGGCATCGGCATCGGCATCGACATCCACCTGTACCCGATCGCCCTGCCATAGCCCACTATATATAGATATATAATGTGAGCCATACCGTTTTTCCATGCACTCCCTCTCTCTCTCTCTCTCTCTCTCTCTCTCGGATTGAGTTATCAGCGCATGCTGCCTGGCCTGGCCAGTTGCATTTATCATTTATCATTTGAGTGGGGCCGCGGCTCCGCAGGCGCCCCAGGCTGCAGCTTTCAGCACATTTGCTCATTTAGTCATTTAGATTTTTTTATTTGTACCAAAATTGTTTTGCGATATTTACCCCACATACCTTGGGAGAACCCAACAGCCTCCAGTCCGTGTGGCAGGCCGAAGGGACCCAAAGATGGCATTGGCATGCCCGGCGGCAGCGGTCCGTGCGGCACCGAGTGGTGCGGATGTGGGCCGCCATAGCTGTGCGGATGCGGGCCCAAATCTCCCGACTTGAGAAAGCCCGCCGCCATCAAGGCTTCCGTTGAGTGCAGCGCCACGTTGATGCTGTTTATGGTGCAACCGGTGATCCTTCAATTGGCCAAATAAGACACGCTCTCACTGATGCCGGCCGATGCTGTGGGCGTGGCGTGGCAGTTGCCAAAACGCCGCTTCAAATGGGCTGGCAGCTAAATGGCGTTTGTCTGCAAGAACACAAATTCAATTCAAATTAAATTATTATTATTATAAAGAGGAATAAGAGTTAAGTCTAATATATATATATAAATATATATATAAATATATATATATATATAAATTTGAGTTGATTCTATGCCCAGCCAATGCTTCGCACTGCCCATATCAAGAACTTTTAATACTTTCTATTCACAATCGAATCACTTAATAATCTCTGCTATGTTTGCCATCTTCTGTGCGGGTCCTTGAGGAGCGACTGCTGCTGCTGCTGCTGCTGCTGCAGTCTCAGCCTCAGCCTCAATTTAGGCCAGATGTGTTATTAATTTGCGTGTGCGCGTGAGCATGTAATTTGGAAGCGTTGTTGGGGTTCGGCTTTGGACAGCGTATGCACATACGTATAGATATATATCTATATAGGGATTCGGGCTCGAGTGGCTGCTGCAATGTTGTATTTGCGGCTTTGGGTTTTGGCTTTGCCGGTTTCCATTTCGCTTGCATTCGGATGCATTGAGCCATGAAAACGACATGACAAAACAAAACAAATTTGTTGTGCTCGGTGCAGGCTACTTTACCCTATATATACATATGTGTGTGTGTGTGTGTCTGCATGTGTGTCGATGGCGTATAGGGTATATGTGACAAATAGCTGGCTGCATTTTCCAATTTCAAAACAATGAGAGACCTCCGAGGTGTCCGTGCTAATCCCGCAATTTCACTGCCTCTCGCTTCTGCGCCTATTTGCCGTCTCATTTGCACTGGGCTTAGATATTGCTAATTTGTATTTTTCGCACGAAACCACCGAAAATAGAAGGAAAGAAAGAAAAAAAGTGGGACAAAAGAGTTTCGAACTCGTCGTACTCGGCATATGAGCATTAAGCCCGGTTCAGCTTGAGGTGAAGGCCGAGCTCGGTCCGGCCTAATCTTAATACCCAAGCCATTGTCCCATCATGCCCAGTGCATGTGCATGTGTGTGTACATGTGTGTGTGTGCACATCCCATTTCGTCCTTTTAGTAAGTGTCTTGCCTAATCCAGCAGCTAAGCACAGATCAAAGATCTTTAAACCGCAAGACTGCCCGAAAACTAAGTCTAGGCGGTGCTCGTTCCCGTTCAAGAACCAAAAGGCGTTATTACACAGTTGGGTAATCTTGCGATAGTAAGACTCTGAGTAAACATTCCTGAGCTGCACAGGATTTGCCAAGCAAGCATACAACATTTGGGCTAAACTAGGGACTAAGCTAACTTTTGTCAATTTGTTGTTTTTAAGAAAACGTTCAGTTAGGCCTTATCGTAGAACAAGTATATTTCAACCTAATGAATAAAATGTATAGAACTAGAGCTATGTTATATAGCAATCGAAGACTATATTTAACAGAACTGTTAATATAGTGTACGAATTTTGATTATCGTCAGTCTAATGACAATGATCTTAAAGATATTTAGAATAATTTAACAAATACTGTTATGTTATATTATTATACTGTTATACTGTTATATTGTTATACTGTTATAATGTTATACTTTTATACTGGTATACTGTAATAATGTTATACTGTTATACGGTTATACTGTTATACTGTTATACTGTTATAATGTTATACTGTTATACTGTTATACTGTTATACTGTTATACTGTTATACTGTTTACTGTTATACTGTTATACTGTTATACTGTTATACTGTTATACTGTTATACTGTTATACTGTTATACTGTTATACTGTTATACTGTTATACTGTTATACTGTTATACTGTTATACTGTTATACTGTTATACTGTTATACTGTTATACTGTTATACTGTTATACTGTTATACTGTTATACTGTTATACTGTTATACTGTTATACTGTTATAATGTTATATGTTATACTGTTATACTGTTATACTGTTATACTGTTATACTGTTATACTGTTATTCTGTCATACTGCTATACTGCTATGCTGATATGCTGCTAAGCTATTATGCCAGATCTATCTGCTTTTTGACTTGGCAAGCATGTGGGCTTGGGGGCAGCTGTGGTTGCGACTGTGTCTGTTTCTGTTTTCAGTCTCTGATTTGCTTTTTGCCAAATGTGGCACATGGGAAGAAAAATAACAAAAAAAAACGAAAAACTAAAAACAAAATCACAACAATATAAAGAGCTACGTGATTTTCTTGACATTCGACGCTGCTGATTATGAAAAATCATGGCAAAAAAGAGCGAAGCAGAAGAAGAAGAGGGAGGCAAAGGCCCCGCTGGCCTTTGTGATGGCGCGCCTCGGGGACTCGATGCGGGGACTCTCGGCGTGTCGCATGGGCCCGAAATCATTTCGGCTCGACATATATCACGTACACGCACTTTCATTAAAAATTCAGTCGGTATACGGTATTCGGCAACTGACAATCTGCATTTTCACTTTCAGTTTCCGGGCGTAGAGCATGTCTCATTGACTTCAATTCAACGATTCAGTTCCATCTTGTTTTGGGTTTGCCTTTCCAATTTTGCTGCTATCCTGTTGGTGTCTATCTGTGTGTGTATGTTTGGCTTATGATTCTTGTAATGCATATGTTGTGTCCCGCCTGCCTCTTGCTCGTAATTACGGTCAAAATAATATTTTCGAACTACTGATAAGTGGCGGACAGCGGCGATCCGAAGGTAAACAGCCTTAGGAAAATAAACAAATCGAACGCTACCGAATCTTTCAACTCAACTGATTGACTCGCTGACTGCCTGACTGACTGACTGACTGACTGAGTGACTAGATGAACATTGGACAACTGTGGACCAGCGCCCGCACTTTAAGTAAACTGGACAACGATCGCACTACTGAAACGGTAGCCCAAGAAGAGCTCTCCCCCCTCTCCCCTCTCTCCATCTCTATTTGTGGCGTTTTTCTGATGGTACCCTGGGAAAGTGTGTAACCAAATGTTGTGATCGTTGTGACGGTGGCTACTGTTAATTTGTGCCATGGGAATATTTTTGTTGTCTTCGACATTTTCAAGTTGATCATTTAATTTTTTCTCTCTTTTTTTTTTTTGGCAAGTTTTGTTCGGTTTTGTTTTGGCCAGCTTTGATTAATGGTTCCAGCTAAACGAATGTGGCATTCAAAGTTAGTTTCAGCATTGACTGTGCCTGTGTGCGTGTGCGTGTGCGTGTGTTTTAGAAAGCGAAAGATGAGCAAAAATCGTAGAGCAAATGCAGTGGAGCCAAGTTCAAAGTCTATCAAACTATCTGTGGCTATTGCCATTCCCGCCAACATATGACAGGCAACATTATTGTGCAACACATTGCCGGAGCCAGCGGCAAATTGCCAAAGATAGCTGCACTCAGACGCAGTTAGCGAGCTGAGCGAGTGCAACCAGCTGTCAAAAGTGCTCACTTGTCACAGTCGCAGTTGCAGTTGCAGTCGCTGCAGTTGCGGCTATTAGCGGCCTTAACAAGCTCTATAACAACTTAATATGTCCAGCCGTGTTTGCTACAGTGCGCTACACAGCTGGTAACAAGTGCCGATCGTGCTGCCAACAAGAAGAAGAAGAAGACGAAGACGCAGCAGCAGCAGCAGCAGCAGCAGAAATGAGCAGATAAATATGAGTTTTTTATGAATTTCGCTGCTGTCAACGGCGAGTGGCTGCAACTTTCTATCGCTTGCAGCACAGTGTAAAAGTGTGAATAACGCAAATGCCTAAGAAACGTTTCTCAGGCTCATTTACATAGCGAACAGCTACTGGAATCTGGTTGGCTGCGACTGAAGCTCCAACTGCGACTGAGAGCCTGAGTGGGTCTGGGACTAAGACTGGCCTAGCATAATAAGCTGTCTGTCGAAAATAATGCAACTTAATAAACGCAACAAAGAACGCGCGGTGGCTCAGGTGGCACGTCCCGAGCTGCCACATTGCAAGCTGGCAACTGGAAAAGGCAGCTCTGACTGCAGTAGACTGAACTGAACTCAACTGAGCTGAACTGAGCAGAGCTGAGCTGAGCTGAACTGAGCTGAACTGGTAGCCAGTTTTGGATCGTGTGCCATTTCTACGCAAATGCATTTTGACATTTAAATTTGCAATTTTCGCATAAAATTATATTTATTTTTCATTAGGGGGGAAATGCAACCTTGCAGCAGCAGCAGCAGCAGCAGCAGCAGCAGCAGCAACTGTTGCTACTGACTGCACTGAGTGACACGCTGACGTTGACGTCCGCTGAAGTTTAATTAACAAACGTGCCAAATAATTGAAAAAGTGTGAAGATTTGACAAGTTTAATACGCATTCAAAATGCGCGCATGGCCTAGAAACCGCTAACTAAACAGCAGCAGCAGTGGCAGTGGCAGCAACAACTATGGCGACAACTTGGCTTTTTAATTAGTTTTCATATTTGCGCTTTTTTTCGCATTTTGTTAATCATATGCATTACACATTTAATTAAATTGACACTTGAGCACGCTGAAACGAGTCTGGATAGACTAGATATATATATATATATGCTTAAAGCTAATAGACATACAGTTAGCATTTTAATCACAAATTGGCCAATGATAGATTGCTCAACAGTTAAGCTAAAAGAAAAACAAGTTGCACTCACACACACACACGGACACACGGACACGTGGACGGGGACAATGCAAATCATGTTTCAGATGCGTTTTTCTATCGAAATGCAAATTGTAAGTTTTATATGTGTTAATTGGCAATCAAATTGGCGTTTCAGCTATTAAATGATCAATTAAAGATTTGCCATGCTCAATAGTTGAATTAAACGTCTGCAGCCAGAGTTCAGATCCGTCTAGAAGGATGATTGCCCCCGCCCCCAATGCCGCACAAAGTCAACTGAAAAATTATAGAAATATTGTGACAACGAGTGTGTGCGAGTGTGTGTGAGACTGTGTGTGAGGGTATGAATGAATGAATGTTGCCTTCGATTCGGACTTGGCTTGTACAAATGATTGCATCATAGTAAAAATAAATCAAACAAACCAACCACACAAATCAATAATAATGCGGTACGGTAATAGAGTAAAGAGCCCTGACTGGGCACAGAGACAGCAATAGCAACAGCAACAGCAACAGCAACAGCAACAGCAACAGCAACAACAATAACAATAACAATAACAACAAAACTTATTATTTGACGCATTGTCAATGTGATCTTGATAGCTGGCCGGTTCGGCATGGTACGGCTCGGGCTGGCCTGGCTCTGACTGATTTCTATTTAAATGGCTTTGTCAACGAAATTCGAGAAGCCAAAAAGACAACTAAAAAGTTTTGGGTACAGCCGCGTAATGAGCAAAGAGTGAAGAGAGATAAAAATTAATAATACAAATAATTGGAAAAAAACGCAATATATAAATAGGTACGCACATATATATACCCATATATATATATAGCTTGCTTTGTGTATGAAGGAAAGAAGTCAATCGAAATGAAATGAAACCTCACTTAAGGCAAGGCGAGGCGACGCCAAGGCGTCACAAGCTGACAAAGACTTGATTCCGTATTAGAGCCCAACGGCGTCGCCGTCGCCGTCGCCGCCTCCGCCTCCATCTCAAACTCCATCACTGATCCAGCTCGACGCAGTGGGTAGGCACAGATTGGGCGTGAGTCGATATATCTATGCTAAACAATGGAGCGCTCTCTGCTCGCCGGTCTGGAAGCTTTGGCTCTCCCAGATAAGCTATCAAAATGTCGCGACGCGATCTTGACTTCAATTCAATTCATGAATTGAAACGGACCAAGTAACGGATGTGGATGTGGATGTGGCTATGAATGAATGAGCTAGCAGAGCTCCGATTCAAATTGAAATTGGCAGCTTGAATTCTTGTTGTTGCTGTTGCTGCGTGGGCGTGAAGCTTGCCTGTTTTTTTTTATGCTTAGCTCTGCTCAGTTTACTGATTTTAGGGCCAGCGCAACAGAATGAATCTGTCTGGGCTGGCGTCTGTCTGTTCTCTCTGACGTTTGCCAGCTGGCAAGCTGGCTGGCTGGCTTTCTGGCCAAAACAAATTGCCTTGCATATTAATTTTAACAAAAAAAAAAACACACACACACAATATCTATGCAAATTAATAATAATACAAAACGATGCGATGAGGCACAGAAATATTAAAAAAAATATATATAAATACATATATATATATATTTATATAAAAGTGTGTGTGTGCCTGCATATGCTAACAGAAAATATGCTCGATGTTTTAATTTATGACCCAGCCGCTTTGAAATTAGCTAATAAAGCGCGGCGGCAACAACAACAACAAGAACAGCCTCAAAGAAATATAAAAATAACCAAAAAGAAGAAGAAGAAGAAAAACTTATCAAAATGTGTGAATAATGTGACCCGAACGGGTCTCTCGAGCAACGCTTCAGTTCGAGAGAGTTTCTTTGGGTTCCATTGTGCGCGCTGCACAGTAGTTTTTGGGGTTCAGGTAGCATATGAATATAGATATGCATAGTTATATTTAGTATGTTAGTTAGTTGTGGATTGCTTTGACTATTCCAATGCTGCTGTTGTTGTTGCCCTTTACCCTCTGCCCTCCGCCTAATTAACAAGCAGTCCAAAAACTGGGCGGCATTAATATGCCCATTAAAATTATGAAAATCCATTTCGGATTCAATGCGCTCTCATATTATGCAGCCATTCCGACTCATCATGGAATTTCCTGTTTAGCCGCAATACAGATTCATCTCAGTTCGCTCCTAGCCTACTTTTCTCTAGACCAACTATAGATCAGTAGTTGACACACACAATTCTGTTGTCCAAGATTGAGTGCACAGTCGCACTACTATTTTTATGAACAAGGCTGTATATGATTATGGGTAAGGGTTATGCACGCTCTTTAAGGCTTAGACTTGAAGTTCTTTTCGGGATAGCTCGATAACTACTATAGGCTTATCCATATATATTCTCAATTCTAATATCAAATATGTCTATCACTATGTCCAGTATTTAGTGCCAACTCGCACTACTATTTTTATGAACAACGCTGCATATGATTATAGTTAAGTACTGTACACGCTCTTTAAAGTCTATACTTGAAGTTCTTTTCGCTATAGCTCGAGAACTATAAGTATTATTGAACTATTTTCTTCATAGCACTATCTATATGTTCTCTATTCTTATATCGAAAATGTTCTTTCTCCAATCAAATTTACCTAACTGTTTGTGAATATTTAAATAGTGTTTGAGCTCTATTAATCTAAGATTAGATTGAACAAAAGCCAAATTCTAATATAAAATAATTAACAAAAACTTTTCTCAAATACATATATTTGCCTACAAGTAAATATAATTCTATGAAATCTGAGCAGTTCCAAAATAATTTGCAATTCTACAAATTAAGTATTTCTCATATTCATTTATTTATCATTTCATATAAAACAAGTAAAGGATCATTGCTTTTTTCGGAGATCTATTAAGAAGCCAAATTTGTGGCCGACGGCAAAAAGCAATGACTTGACATACCAAATCTGGATATCTAAACGAGTAATATCAATATCGAAGAGAACAGGGAAAGATACTAAATTGAAGAACTAAACTATTAAAATAATATTTTAGAGTCTATAGATGGGTGACAAAGGTAATCCGAGAAGACAGAAATACATTCTCTAGCTTAGCTTGGGTACAATGCGTATATCATATCTAGATGATAGGTATAATCCGTGATAGTCGCATTGGAAGGCGTCATTTGGTTAGTTCAGTGAAATATAGGTTATTAGACATTGGTTGTAGTAAGCTTGTTATATATTATATTATATTGATAGATGGCTTTTGCACACATCTGGGAACAGCACTCACCAAAAAAAAAAACACCAATATCGAGGAGCGTGAGCGATTCTCGATGCAGTCACTGTTGGCGTACGGATATTCCAAACGAGCAAAAAAATATAGTGCTTAAGGATATCGGATATCGGATATGTTGGTATTATTGTATAGATCCAATTAATGGTTGCCTGGCATAGGTTGATCGACTCTGATCTGCGGTGCGTTATTCAGTATTCAGTTAATTTGATAGTTGAGTGTTTTGTTGTTGTTTTAGCCAGGTTAAGGATAAATACACTTGCTGCGGCAGACACCAAAAAAACAATGCACAATTTATCGCACGATTTTAGTATCTTTAAGAACTTTTGCTAACGGCTGTTGCTGTTGTTGTTTTCCTTGTTGTTGTTGTTGTTTGGTGTTTTGGATTTTGCACACGCACGTTATTTAAATGTTTGTTGTTTGTTTGTTGTTTTTACTGTGTGTATATGTTGTGTTGGATTTTTGCATATAGCTTTTTGCTTGCTTTTATGCGTATGTGTGTGTGTGTATATTAATGTGTGTGCGTGACACGGCGTTGAAGAAACGCGACGAAATATAACGGTGAACGGTAAACGATTGAACGCTGATTTGAACCAACAACAAAACGAGCGAGCGGAGCGACGAACGCACAACCCGAGCGGCACGAATGTTACTTTGGAACTGATTTTCGTCGTGACACCTTCAATGCGAGCAGCACCAGCAGAAGCAGCGTAAACAGCGTTAACAGCAGCGACCGCGGCAGCAGAAGTCGTTCGACCAGTCCAATTTGTTGTTGTTGCTGACTGCGCTGCCTTTGCCTTTGCTTTTGCTGCTCTCGTCGTCGTATATCGTCGTCGTCAATCGTCAGCAACAGCAACAACAACAAGAGCTCGAGCGACTTCCTTTTTCAACGTACTCACACACTTACAATGAGAGCGAGAGGCCAACGCTTTAGCAATGGCTGACAGCGAACGCGAGTAGCATTCAACGTATGTTAGAATGAGATAGCAGGAGTGCTGACAGCAGCGACTGCCTGGCTGGTTGGCAGCTCATATTTATAGACTTTAACAGCGCTTGCACTTTTGTCTCGCTCTCACCAGCACTGCAGCGGGGACAGTGTGAGCAGGCGCGCTGCACTTGGCAGCTGTATTTACCTATGTGTTGTTGCTGTTTCTGTGTTTTTACCGAACCACACCCCCAAAAACAATGAAAATTGGTGATGTGCTGCTGTTTGTAGTTGTTGTTGCTGCTGCTTTTGCTGGCTGTCGCTTCTTCGCACTCGGTTCAACAACCAAGCAGCAGTACGCCAACTTTGGTTTTTTATTTCTTTTTTTCTTCTTCTTGTTTTTGCACAAATTGTTTGATTCGCCTTAGTTGTTGCTTTTACTGTTGTTGTTGCTGTTGGTGCTGTATTTTGCGCGCGCAATGAAAATTTAATGAAAATGACAGCCCAAACACACGCAAAACTCAGCTACTAAAGCAACGCAAAATTGTTAGTTAGCAGGAATAAAAATAAATAATAAAATAAAAACTTGCAGACTGCGCGGGCAACATGGCAGTGGACCTGGTCAGGATGACAAACACCAACACAGCCAGCCAGAACCCAAATTGCTATGCACAGGGAGCAACAATCACGCTGATAGGGGCAGCGATATGTACATTTACATATACATACATAAATATATATTTATATGTATATATATGTATGCATAAAGCACGCCCCCAGCCACCACTCGCAGTTCTGGGCCGGCCAACACTTAAGAATCATTCACATTTGTGGCCCAGCGAATATTTTGATTAATTAAAGCAGGGTAATTAAAGATTCAACTAGATGCTAAAATAAATGGCAGATTTTTAACTGTATTTAATCTATTACTTGCCACTAAATAAACAGAAGAGATAAGGAAAGTGTGTGATAAAATCTGCGATAAATATTTATGGGACTGCATAAATATGCGTTTAAGTCAGTAATAAATAAAATAAATGCTAATAATGCGTTCAAAATAACAGGATCAACCTTTTTACAATAACTTAAGACTGAATTATTAATATATATAAATTAAATTTCTCGATATGCTAATATTTGTTCCACACTAAATTGCTTAAATTCGACTGTTAAAACACAGGTTAGATTCCACTGTACATGATAGTTAGCCTGCCCACAACAACAAAATGGTTGACATGGCCCCTCTGCGAGGGGAGGCAAAAAAAAACAAGTTGGGAAAACCTTATCAAATTTTCATGACAATTTCAAATAGCTGACGACAGTATTTTTTTTCATTCTTCATTTTTACCCACACTTACACACCCACATAGAAAGGAAAGTTGTGCAAATTTTTGGTTTTTTTTTTTATGGATTTCTCTTGTAAATTTTCTCATTTGACTGGGCCCGAAATAAAATTTTTGCGGCTAATTGATGTATATATCAAACAAGCCGTAATTATACTTACAACGCCCCATCCTCGCCTCGCCTCGCTCTCGCTCTCGCTCTCTGTCCCGCGTTTGCCTGCGCGCCTTCTCTCGCACTCGCTCTCGCTCTGTCTAAGGTCATGCAAATGCAGACAAAATTACAGTTATGGCAGCTTAACATACAAATTGGGAGCCAGAGAAGAATAAAATAAAAAAGAAACAGAATAACGGCAAAGTTGAGTAGGAATTTTAATTGCGTCCTTAAAGTCAGACCGAGTTTTGGGCTTAAAGAGCAGACAGCAGTTTTAAGGCATATTTGAGATCGATTGCTAATGGATATTTTGATATAATTAATTTTTTTAATTACAATTTGTAACATGGTCAATTTTTATTACATCAAAAATTGTATTAAAAACTATATTTTATTTAAATAATTTGCAATTTTAGTCAAATAGAATAGAATACATATATATACAAATATATATCTATATTATATAAATGAACTTTTTATCTCACCTCACAGTTAGTTTTTAATTTGATTACATATTTATCTGTAAATTTCCATAGTAATATGCTGAAGGTGTAAGAAAAAGCACAACATATGTTTTTTAATGAATAAAGCATCAAAATCCCATACGCTTTAAGCCTATTTACATTGACTGAGCAGCTCTTAGACAGAACTAAATTTCTATATAAAAAGTACAACTATTATTTATTTCTATATAGTTTTTTTTAGCTTGCATAAACGTGTGTGCATGCGTGTGTGTGGGGCATCTGCAGCCTGAGCTGCGAGATAGCTGTGCATAAATTTGTATGTGTATTTATGTGTGCGATTTTTAACTACAGTTTTACAAAGTGCGGTTCAAAAAGCAAACAACTCTTTCATCCCTTTTTATTTGACGCTCACAGATGCAAAATGCACATCGAAGGCACAAAGTGCCAAATGCCGGAGTCATAGATACCCATTGAAACTTGCACTCTTCGATTGCCATGAACCGGGGTCAAGCTACCAGAATAGAACTGACTTGACTCGATTGTTACATGCATATGGCTAAAAGCCATATACCCACTCTGCAGCTTTTATGCAAAAGACTTAGGGTATTATCAAGAAAAAAGCTAAAAATAAAATAGAACCAAAAGCTTGCGTTTGTGTGGGTGTATTGCATACGTTTGTGTGTGCACGTAGCGTTGTTGTTGTTGCTGTTGTTGTTGCATATGTGCAGGGTTCGACGCCATTGCCCTGCACATTTTTCATAGGCGACAGTTTTGATTGCGGGCGCGACAGGAACGCGACGCTAAGAATGGAGAATATGGGCAAGGTGGAGATTTGCTATGTGTGTGTAAGTGCATGGGTGTGGGTGTTTAGCTACTGCACAACAATAGCAACACAACATGAGGAGCAACAGCGACTTTTACTCGTTGCTGCGTTCGACTTGGACATGGACTTCAACTTCGCCATTCGCCTGAGCGCTGATTAACGACAATTCGTTTGCCTGATTTTTTATTGCCATATGCAGCATGGCAGTGCTTGTGGCTGCTGCTGCTGCTGCTGCTGCTGCTGCACATTCATTAGGCGCTGTCGTAGGCGCGTGTCCAGACTCCAGTTGCCAGTCTTGGGCCAGTAAATTTCATTAGCGCCTGAGCCGTTGTCTTTTATTGTCTGAAACGGTCTGGCCCCTGGGCGAGCGGTGCGCAGCGTCTCAGCGTCGAGGGGGCGTGGCATAAATATCATGATTAAGTTGCATACAACAGCAGCGGCAGCGCAAAGTTTGACATGTGCGACAACAACAAATGTCGCGAACGCCATCAATTGGCCAGGCGCTGCGTATACGTAATATTTGATGTCTATGCCCATAGCCCCATAGACTTTTACCGCTAGCCCGAGGCCTGCAAATTGTACGACAATTGATTGAAAAGAAAGTCGCAGCCAAAGCGTTAATTAATCTTATGTTATTAGAAATTTAACTAGCATCCTGACGAGCTGCACACCATCTTCCAGCCAAACATGGAGTCATATAAACGGGGACACATAAATGAAAGAAAAAGTTTGAACTAATCTTAGGCAATCTCTATATGCGCACTAGGCTCTCTCATCACCTCTTCTTTTATAAAGTAAATTTTATTTATAATTTGCAGTTGTAAATGTTTTTCTAGTTTGCTGTTGCTAAGCAGCGACTTGACCTAGAGTAAGTGTAAGAATTAGTCGAGATGAGATGAGGTGAGGTGAGGTGAGAGATTATTTCAATATTGAGATGCAAATGAAATGAAGCGAGTTCTGATAAGTGTGATGGGCATATCCTCTTGAATGTTTCTTCTTCTCAGGCGGAGTCTTGTGACAGGACGGGGCTGCAGTTCGTTGTGATATCTTGCTGATTGCTCGTTTATGACTGCGACTTCAGTGTTGCGTAATGTACTTAGGTGACATTCAATGGACTTGCATTCCCTTTGTATAAAAGACTACAGAGTTTGCTGCAAAGCAAGAAGTTTTCTCCTTGTTGCTCAACTGCCGAACTTTGGGAGTGAGGAAAAAACTATCAGTCAGCCATCGAGTAAGCCTTCGTAATTGTTGACGTAGCGCATTCAGAGTAGAGTATTACACAGTCAATTGCACTTCAGCTAATCAGGCCACATGCGGGGCAATGTAACTTTCTATTGATAAGTCAGGCCGTATCCGTGC